CCCTTCATTTTCTGAAGAAGGGTCTAGGCCCGAAACGTCAGCCTTCCTCCTCCTCTGATGCTGCTTGGCCTGCTGTGTTCGTCCGGCTCTGCACCTTGTTGTCTCATTACATTGAGAGAATGGGTTTTGTTTCTGTTGAATATTACTTGTTATTTCCTTCCTGCATGCAGTACTTTTCTTTCCTACTTCTCCTTTCTCCTTTAAGATACCCCATAAAAGCTCCCTCTGACCAAACTTCTGGTCACCTAACATTCCAAACAATATACTGCACCAAATCAAGCGATTACGTTTCTTTACCTTTACAGTATGCTGACACTCCTACAAAATGCAAGATTTTGTCATGCCTACACTAGCTCACAAATTTTCTCACCAAATCGGCTCCACGTTGTGTAATTTGGAGGTTTCCTATTTCAATCCTTCCTAGCTTTGTATCAGGTGAAAATGATTCAACAATCCCAAAACCAGCTTTGGGACACTCAACTCTGTACTCTTCCCACACTTGCATAGTGTCGTTTAACTACAATCATACCAATTTGTTTTCTAATTGCTTATTAATAGCCACATTGGGTCCTGAATCTCCACAATTTTTGAGATTAGTTTGTACGTTTTCATGTGCAGCTTTATGTTTTTTGGAAGTCTGAGAACTCAACATATTTTTAAGCAGATAACCTGATGGCACTTCAATAACTATACATTTAGACAGCTGTTTTAACTGAATAAAACATCCAAAGGTATTTCAACACCACATTACCACAGAAATTTTAATGCTGACCCCACAAGGAGAAATTAGCATAAGTGACAAAAGGTTTGGTGGAAGTGATGGGTTTTAAGTAGTATCTTAATGCAGAGGCGAAGCAACTTGGGGATAGAACCAAGACTGTTGAAGCTATGTTGGAATAATTAAAATCACGTGATGCACTAGACCCCAGTTCTAAAAGGGCAGATATATCTGATAGTTATAGGGCTGGAGAAAGTTAGGAAGGATTTAAAAGTCAAAAGATGTGAATTTTAACAGTTAGGGAATTGCCAGACCAGTAGCTATTGAGCATAAGGATGAAGAGGATTGTGTATTGATTAAAATACACTGGCTGCAGAATTCTGGTGGATACAACTACTGACATGGGAAATAGAAAGCTGACTAGAATAGGAAATCAAATTTAAAGGAAACTTAGGGAATAGGTAAAGCTTTCAGCAGTCAATTCGATCAACACAGTTGGTCAATAAAAACCGAAAGAACAACGGATGTTGTAGATCAGAGACAAAACCAGAAACTGCTGGAAAAGCTCAGCAGGTCTGGCAGCATCTGTGAAGATAATCAGAGATAAAGTTTTGAATCGAGCAAACCTTGCTCAGAACACAGCTCTGAAGACAGTCGGGATTGTTTCCAGAGCCGTTCCAACATTGTCCAATGGTTTGCTGCTACACATACAGCCTTCCAATTTAAGTTTCTTCATATGATTTGCAATACTATCATGTTCAGTGGCAGATAATATGTGCATCTTGGGAGAAAAAAGGCTCCACGTCAGAACTCGGGAAGGTGGGAGCAGCGGAGAAGCAAATTCAGGGCTACACACTTCTTTCTTTTAAGCAATTGAACGCGCAACAGCGGTGAATATGGTGTACTAGGGACAGAAAGAAAAACAGCGAAAGGACGTGTAAGTTTGAGGCGATGAGACACTTGCTCCCCGGAACGTACTGATATGTTGGCGAATGCCTCCCACAAGCTGTGAAACTGCGGGGTGCATTCCTCGCAAACCCGCACCGGCCGAGCGTTCTTCACCACGCAGCTGACCAGGGACGCGCTGCTCTGGGCGAAATCCCACAGCAGCTGCCGGCAGCTTTCGCCCACCGCCAGCGAAGTCATCCACCAGGTGGCGGCGCTGTCCCAGTCCGGCTGCAGCGGCAGGTCATTGGCTCCCCGCACCCAGCGGGGCATAGGCCTACCCTCACGAGGCACGTCCCACCCGAACGGGGGACCCGGGCTTTCCAGAGATAGATCGTCGTCGCTGACGTCGCCCGCGCCTTCCGGCGTAGAAGCGGTGGTTATGCCGAATGCTCCGTCGCTAATAAAAACCAATAAAATAACACCCAGGAGCCCGCCACCCGTCATCACCAACCACCACAGTGTAAGCACCCGGCGCATTACACTGCTGACGGTTTGTTTGTGGGGGCGCGAGAGGAGCACATGACCGTGACGTCAGAACCTGCGGCTCCCGGAATGTCACGTGGGTAGACTGCCCAGGGTTTGATACATTGTGTAACGCAGAGAGATTCCCAGCAGGGGAAAGTGGCCCTTTAGCCCATCGGGTTCTATCCTGTTCTCCGCGATCTAACTACTCTAGACCCAGTTTGCAACGGTTGGCTCTTAGCCTTTTATGTTCAAACTGCTCGGATATGTCATATGATATAGAGATAGTAGGAACTGCAGATGCTGGAGAATCTGAGACAACAAGATGCAGGGCTGGACGAACACAGCAGGCCAAGCAGCATCACAGGAGCAGAAAGGCTGACGTTTCGGGCCTAGACCCTTCATCAGAAAAGGGCCTTTTCTGCAGAAACGTCAGCCCTTCTGCTCCTATGATGCTGTTTGGCCTGCTGTGTTCATCCAGCCCTGCACCTTGTTGTCTCAGATATGTCATATGACAATTATCTCAGACAGGTGGGACTTCAAACAGTGCCACTGTGCCACAAGGGTTCTGAAGAAGGGTCCCTACCGGAAAAGTCAGCTTTCCTGCTCCTCTGATGCTGCCTGGCCTGCTGTGTTCCTCCAGCTCCACATGTGTTATCTCTGACTCCAGCATCGGCAGTTCTTATGATCTCTAGCCTTGTATGCTGTGGTGTTTCAAATGCTCATATAAATAAATATTGGGGAGGCAATGGCCTAGTGGTATTATTGCTATACTGTTAATCGGGATACCCAGGTTTTCTGAAAAAGGGTCCCGACTCAAAACATCAACTTTCCTGTCCCTCTGATGCTGCCTGGCCTGCTGTGTTCCTCCAGCTCCACACTGTGTTATCTCTAATATTCTGGGGACCTGGGTTCAAATCCTGCCACAGCAGATGGTCGGATTTGATTTCAATAAATATCTGGAATTAAGAGTTTAACGATTGACTGTGAATTCGTTGCCAATTGTTAGGAAGAACCTATCTGGTTCACTAATGTCCTTGAGGGAAGGAAACTGCCATCCTTACCCAGTCTGGCCTACATGTGAGTCCAAACTCATAGCAATGTGGTTGATTCTTAACTGCCCTCTGAGCAGTTAGGGTTGGGCAATAGATGCTGGCCTAGCAGCGATATACTCATCCCATGAATGAATGAAGAAAAAAGAATGAATAAAGGAAAAATAACTTCTTAAATGTTTTGAGGATTCCTGCCTCTACATCTGTCCATCACCTTCTAGGTAAATAAAATTCTTCCTTAATTCCACTCTAAAAGTCCTGCCCTTTACCTTAAATCTGTGCTTCCAAGTTTTAAAAGGAAACGTTTACTGAAAGAAAATGTTTCTTTTTAAATGTCCTGTCTACTTCTCTCATAATTTTGTACAACTTAGTTAGGTGTGCCAACCCCCAACCTTCTCTGCTCTAAGCAAAACAACTACAGCTCTCTCTTAATTGTTGAAAAGTTTCAGTCTAGGCGACATCCTGGTGAATCACTTCTGCACCCTCTCTGGTGCAATCACATCCTTCCTATCATGTGCCAACCAGAACTGCAAACAGTACTGTAGCTGTGGCCTAATTAATGGTATACATATACCGTCATCAAGATGGTGAGGAGTAGGCCTCCTGAACCAGGGCTCGTCTGCTGCGACTGCTTGACTTTTTCTTTTTCTCTTTACTTACCTCTTGTCCTGAACTTGGTTGGCATTGGTGGTGGTAATGAATCACAGTGCAGATCTTGTGGTGCCAATGAGTGGGCCCAGCTCAGACCTCATTGTGGTGAGTGGGCCCCTACTTATTTTAGCAGGGCGAGCACAGGACCCGGCATGAGAATCCGCTGTTGCCACAATGGTGGAGGTGACATTGGTGAGGTAGGCCCAGTGATGAAAGATGGTGCCTGAAGACACAAGGATATTAAACTGATCTCCTGCAGCTGGGTCATAAGATTTCATTTACTATTACCAGTTTCGACAGTTCTTACACATTCATTCATGCAGTTTCACGGAAGCGCTGTTTTGATAGTAACTTTCCTAAAAGGGGTAGCAGCCCTATTTAATATGTATCTAAAAAGTACATACTAGAGGAACTGTTTGATGTCTGCAACCTATTTGGATCCTGAGATGGTTGCTAAGGCTAATTAATATTATAGTCTTTCCATAGTTATGAGTAGGTTATGGAGACACAATGGCAGGGTTGGCATTGTTCTGAGTAGGCTACGATATTAACATTTATTCCAGAGTAGCCTTTGATGCAGAAACTGGTCTAAACACTGCTTGCAGCATGGACCGAAAAGAATTGAAAGGTTTTAGATCTATGTAGATCTACATCTGGACAGAATTGTCCCATCAAGCAGACATGGCATGGGCTCATGAGAGGCAGATCATGTTTAACTAATTTAATGGAATTCTTTGAGGACGTTACAAGCATGGTGGACAACGGTGAACCAATGGATGTGGTATATCTGAATTTCCAGTAGGCATTCAACAAGTGCCATACTAAAGGCTGCTTCATAAAATAAAGGTGCATGGCATTATGGGTAATGTATTATTATTCTTAGAAGATTGGTTAACTAACAGAAAGCAAAGAGTGGGGAAAAATGGGTGTTTTTCTGGTTGGTAATCAGTGGCCAGTGGTGTAACTTGGGGATCAGCATTGGGATTAGCATTTACATACATGATTTGGGATTGAGGACCAAGTGTAGCGTGTCAAAGTTCGCAGATGACACTAAGATGACCAGTAGAGCAAAGTGTGCAGAGGTCACAAACTGCAAGGGATATGGATAGGTTAAGTGAGTGAGCAAGGGTCTGGCAGATGAAATACAAAATTGGTAAATGTGAGATCATCCATTTTGGTAAGATTAACAGCAAACTGGACTATTATTTAAATGGTGAAAGACTGCAGCATGCTGCTGTGCAGAGGGACCTGGGTGTCCTTGCGCATGAATCACAAAAAAAGTTGGTTTGCAGGTGCCTCAGGTAATTAAGAAGGCAAATGGAATACTGTCCGTCATTGCTAGAGGGATGGACTGTAAAACCCAGGGAGGTCATGCTGCAGCTGTAGAGAGTGTTGATGAGGCCATACCTGGAGTACTGTGTACAATTTGGTCTCCTTACCTGAGAAAGCATGTACTGGCACTGGAGGAGTTGCAGAGGAGGTTCACTAGATTGATTCCAAATTTGAGAGGGTTGACTTACAAGGATAGATTGAGTAGGCTGCGACTGTACTCAATGGAATTTAGAAGAATGAGGGGAGATCTTATAGAAACATATAAATCATGAAGGGAATAGATAAGATAGAGGCAAGGAAGTTGTTTCCACTGGGGGTGAAACTAGAATTAGGAGGCATTTCCTCAAAATAAGGGGAAGCAGATTTAGGGCTGAGTTGAGGAGCAACTTCTTCACCCAAAGGGTTGTGAATCTGTGGAATTCCCTGCCCAGTAGTAAAGGAACATAGCACATTCACATACTCAAGATGTCTTCACCAAATTCACACAGGCCATTCCAACCCATGACCAAAAGGCTTCAACAATAACCAAAGTATCATCAGTCAGCGCGCAGAAGCAGTAGGAGACACTAACAGCATTCCAAAGTTACTAAATAATCAGGGGCAAAAATGAGGAAAACGATATAATAACTATCACTTGAAAAAATGTGCTAGGGAAACTAATGGGGGTGAAAGGCTGAAAAGTCCCCTGGATCTGATGGAATGTATCCTAGGATACTAAAAGAAGTAGCAACAGAGATGATGGTTGCATTGGTAGTAATCTTCCAAGAATTCTTGTATTGTGGAAAAGTCCCAGAGTATTTGAACACTGCCAATGTAATACCTTATTTAAAAAGTGAAAGAGACAAAAATTGCTTAACTATAGGCTAGTTAGCTTCACATTTGTTATTGGGAAAATGTTGTTGAGCGTTGTTGAGCTTGGGTCATTAAGTATACTCGCGGTTGAGATAGACACATTTTTAATCAGTGAGGGAATCGAGGATGATGAGGAAAAGGCAGGAAAGTGGAGTTGGTTGTTCTCAGATCAACCATGATAATATTGAATGGTAGCCTCAAGGGACTGAATGGACTCCTTCTTCTCCTTTGTTTTATGCTCATCTTGTAAAGGATGTAACAGCAGCGTTATTGGAAATGTGTTTTGTGATCAAGCAGAGTCAGCATGGTTTCACATAGGGGATATCATGCCTGTCAAATTTACTGGAATTCTTTGGGAAAGTAACAAGCAGGATTGATAAAGTGAACATAATATATTTTGGATTTTCAGAGATATTTGATAAGGTGTCACAAGATGGCCTACTCAATGATATAACACCCCATGCTATTAGAGATAATATATTAACATGGACAGAGGATTAGCTAACAAATGGAAGATGGAGTTTGGATATGGAGGCATTTTCCGGATGGCAGTCTATAACTAGTGGAGTGTTACAGGGATCAGTGCTGGGGCCACAATTATTTGCAATATATTTAAATGGTATAACGGCAGGATATGGCAATTGCTCTGCCCAGGACTGTAAGAAAGTACAGAAGGTTGTGTGCACAGCCCAGACCATCACGGAAGCCAACCTTCCATCCATGGACTCCATTTACATGGCCTGTTGCCATGGAAAGGCTACCATCTAATTTTTTTCACCAATGATCTCTATGTCCTTGCTTACTGTGATCTGCCTATACTGCTCATAAACAAAGCTTTTCACTGTACTTCCAAATGCCTCTGTTCTGAAATTTGGCTACAGTACATTAATTTTGCTCATTCAAATCTTTTTTTAAAAAAAATTAGAAAGAGGCATACAAGTTACCTCACACAGGGCATGCGCTAGGCAAGATCAACATGAGCAAGATCAACATTATTTGAAGTTAGAGAGCTCATTCAACAGCTGGGAAGAAACTGTTATTGAACATGCTGGTTTGTGTGTTCAAGCTTTTGTATCTTCTGCCTGACAGAGTAGGTTGTAGGAGAGCATTGCTGGGGTGCGATGGGTCTTTGATGACATTGGCAGCCTTTCCATGCAACGGGCCGTGTAAATGGACTCCAGC